TAACACGTTCTTCTTCATCTGGGTTCCTCACGGTGGTACAATGAGCCCAATAGACTCATTGTCTGAGTCGTTTGGCCTGCTTGTTAAAAGTTCCAAACACAGGTCGCGGCTTCGTGCCTCAGTAACGGTAGCGTAGTGTAGTTTTCAGTTATTTTTTTATGCCTACACGTTTTATCTCTACCTAAATTGAGGCCAGTTTTCTATTTTTTTCAAATTTCTTTCGGGCATAATACCGTATCGGCAGATTTCTCTTGTTGCCGAAAAGTATAACTCGTCAATCTACTTCAATTTAATATTTATACGAATTATACGAATCTAAATGCACTAATTAGGCAATGGAAATATACGCATAAGAAATTTCGATTATACAAATTAATTATCTATGTATTACTCGAAAATAATAATATAATTTACTTAAATTATTGCAGATTCAATATTATCGAGTGCTACTAAAAGTAAAGTATTATTTAAAATGCGAATAGAAATTAAATAATGGTACCTGAAAGGTTGATTGTCGAAGGAGAAGTGGAAGATTTGACTGATAAATATTTGTTTTAAGTTTTTCCTGTAATTTATCTACTTTCTGAGAAAGGAAAAATAAACAGGTTTTCTATTCAACTGGTTTATTTTATAATTGATATTTTACTTAGTAATTATAATTGTGTATGTGTCTCTTTAATCCGATCAATTCAATTCCGTAGACTATCAATACAGCTTTCAGGTTAGATACTTCTTTTATTGTTTTGACATACGCATTTCGGACTTATATGTATTTTAAGTCCCTCTTCAGTTCAAAACTCAGGTTCTGTCTTCCAAAACCACGGTGTATAACGGGTAACGTTGGAAAGAGTTTAAAATACAGTCATTTAAAAACACTTCAAATACATTTTCACATTAATACGGTAAACTTTTAACGTGTGTTCATAACCTTGTATAATTACAACTTTTAAAGAATGTGTATGTTGTACAATATAATGTCGCAGCAATTATGATCTTTTTGCAGATTAATAATACGTAGTATATTAATATTAACACATTTTTAAGAGAATACATATACACTTTTATATTGTAAAAGTGTATATGTATTCTCTTGAAAATGTGTTAATATTAATATGTCGTACTAATGTGGCAATATCGATAAAAACAGCGATTTGTTATTGATATTATTTTACTATAAAACAAAAAAGAATAGAAATATTTTACTTTATACATTAATCAACTGGCAACCATGTCGGGAGATGTAAGTTTTGGTTTCGGTTTTGACAATATGAATTTGGAATTTTAACGTAGAGACAAATACGTAATATTAAGTAAGAGATTTACTTAAAAACAGTCATTTGACTTATACATTTCGTGTAAGGTTGCAAATGTTAATGACACTGCTAGGAGCGTAACACAGATGTATGGCATGTTTATCGGAGCAAAAACCTTATAGAACCATATGCGTGAGCCTCTGCGAGATATAGCCAATTTTTTGAAATCAGCTTATTTATGTAGCATATAGAGGTATTATGGCTCCTTTGAACAGGTGTGGTTGCTCTTTGTAGAGGTTAGATTCCGAGGATCGAATGTAAAACTCGGAGAATTAAAAAATTAATTTAATTATATGAATGAATTTTATGAATTTTTTAAATAAAACGTTGAATTTGTTTGTATCTGAGGCGAGTGTCCTTGTATTAACGATAGCATGTCGAGTTTTTCAATCTCTGTATTATAAATCAATCATAATATTTACAAACTTGATAATTAAAGATTCCGACATTCGATATATATCTAGATTTTTTATCATTCGATAAATTTGCAATAGCCTTGAATTTTTAATTGCTGTTTCCTTTTAATAACAAATACAGTAGAGCGTCGATTAACCGAATCAATTGGCGACTGGGGTTGTTCGGAAGATCGATGTTTCGGATAACCGATCAAGTACGAAAAAATATATTAATTTATCCCATCTTGACATTTTTATCCGTTGCGTGTCGCTTTGCGTTGAATTTTCGTCGATGTTAAGCGTAACGAAGACTATTGTATCGTTAAAAATTATTTTTTTATTTTGTACAAACAAAATAAATATATTGAAAAATATAAAAACAATAAAAAATTATACTACAGAAGTTAATTTAGTATCAAAAACGTAAAATATTTGAGTAGCCCAAGACATAGCCAAAGATTGCAGCGCCACAGCACTGGCGAAAATTTAAATTTGCCGACTGGAATTCTTTCGAATGATTGACATTTCGGATGATTGACTTTCGGATAATCGACGCTCTACTGTACATTATTAAGTACTTCACATTTTCGTATTAATTTACAAATAAACGAATTTTACAATTAAACTCAGACATAGCAGTGAGAAATAATTATCAAATTTTCGTAACCATCTTACGCTTGCTGAGAAATCGTGAGAATCGTTAACAACCTACATTTTATAGGTAATTTCCTGGTATAATAGTTTGAATAAAGCTTATTTTACGCCATTCACTTTTTCTCCTGTACGATAAGTCCGTAATAGCAATATTATGCTCGCAGAAAAGACATTAATACAACCTGGAAAAAGCTTACAAATTAACTAAAAATCAAAATTTTTAATATTTGTTTTCATTAAATATTCAACACGGCACGTACCTATTCACTACAGTGTTACACTGTACTGGATAGGTACGTGTCGTGTTGAATATTTAAGAAAAATAAATAGAAGATACTCATGTTTTTAATTATAATGATCCATAAACGGAAAGAAAATACAATAAGGTTGTTGAGAAATTAAATTATTGAACTACACAAGAACGGTTAAATTGAAAGAAAAATTAATAATAAATAAAACTAATTCCACAATCCTTCAAAATGATTATAAAATCATTAACAGAGATCGAAATTTTAATAGCCTAATCAATATGAATTATAATTAAATTAATTAAAAACTATAGAATGTGAAGAATAGATTATTAATTTAACACAATTCGTTTTACATAATAATTATCTATATCTATATCTATATAAAAATGGACATGTTTGTCTATATATTTCACTCTGCAGCCAAAACTACACATTGCTCATGAATGGTGTTTTTGTGTGGTAGTAGACCCAAGTCTCCCATCCTGCACTATAGTGGTTGCGTCTGGATAGCTATAAGGGTGTGGGAGCTATGGGGTTGAAAGTGGTTGACTTCGAAAATGTGTGACGTTTCAATCAGAATGTTTCAGTTTTTTCTAGAATTATACATCGAATTACAATAATAAACGCAGAATCCAAACGGTTAGGAGTTGAAAGTTGAATTTTGGTACACAGTTTGGGTACGTCACGAGAACGCACACTAAAAAAAAGATTACAAAATCCTTTTTAAAAAGACTTTTTTCTGTTAACATAATTAAACTTGTATGCATTATTTCCTAAATATAGTAACATCATAAAGAGTTGATGAGGGACTAAATAACCCAAATGAATTCTCTTGGAAATAAAATGTTATTTTCTAAAGTTGGTCTTTTACTGGATGATGGTGTAATAAGCCTAGCAAGAAAGAAAAGCCTATAAAGCGCTTATAAATTTAATCCAACAGTAGGCAAGAAGCATATTATTGAACTAGCAGGTAGGCCCGGCGTTGCATGGGCAAAAGTAATTATAGGGAAGATTAACATTATTACGTTATAGTCAACCTTACCCGTTTTCACAGAATGCAAGAATTGGGTCCCCCTGTTTCCGGACTAATTAGAGAATTTTTAGATGGGTCTAAAAATATGTTCGATTTCCGCAAAAATGAAAAATCTGCATCTGCGTCTTGCACGTCTTAACAATTCCATTGTTACGTAACACTTCCATTGTACTTAACACTTCCATTGTTAATGGAAGTGTTAAGCCTTAATCCTGTCTCTTTCCCCCGGGGGGGAATTTCGAAAAATTCCTTCTTAATGTGCGTTTCGTGACGTACCCTAACTGTGTACCAAATTTCAACTTTCAACTCCTAACCGTTTGGGCTCTGCACTTATTATTATCATAATCATTATCTACCCGTCTCTATTATATATTAGATTCAGTGTAGTTTAGATGTCCAAGACTGTTGTGCCGTATTACATTTTTGGATTATGTTTTGAATGATTCTTCTAGTCTTTCGTGGAATAATTTTCATTATTTCTATGAATCGCTTTTCGTATCCACATTTCTGCTGTTGCGCCACTACTTAAACACTGTTTCCCTTTCCTTAGTGTTTGAGATAAAGGTTTGCAAGATTTAAATGTAGTTACTGTTGTGTTTTTCTGTTTTTTTCCGTTTGTTCCACCAATGACACTTTCAGAGGATTTGTGCCGTTGTTTGCTGCAGGTATAACACCTGACAGAAAATTGCTTATTTTTCTTAAGGTTAGATTGATCTTTGTCTTTATTTTCATTTCAGAGTGTCACGAAGGCTGTCTGTTTAATTGTTATATAAACTTCCCTCTTATATCTTTTCTTCTTCTCTTCTAGAAGTTTCATTTATAATACGTTGAGTTTTGGAAGTTGATCTGTAACTATTAGCTTCTTGTCTAGTTTAAAATGCATCGGTGAACTATATAACGACGGTGTAATAAGTCTAGAAATCTTATACAGTATAGAAACTATACAAAATGGCGGATAGTCTACTAATCGTAAAATACAAAAAAGTTAAGTAATCCGCTCCACGTAACAGCATAAAAATTATTTCTATTTGCATTTGATACATCTTGGACTAAAGTATGTTAAAGAAATTATTATACATGAATAAAAAAGAACACAATAAACTTTACATTTTAACTCGTACCACTTAATGGTTATCGTTGAACTCTGCCACTTCACCTCTACTTGTGTCACATATTGTGGAATATCTTCAACACTTTATACTTTTTCGTTTGGTATTGAAGAATAAAGTAAAAATTACGTTTTAATATTTGCGATGAATTTATATTATGTAATTTAATAAAATAACACAAATCACTAATACTTTCATTCTGTTTTATTCGTTCTTCTTGAAAATAATATTTAATCATTTAATTAAATAATTCATTTCTTAATTTCAAAAGATTTCAGAAAAGTTTTGCTAGATTGCATGGTCAGCAAAAACCGAAAAGAGTATTTGTCATTTTTCTTAAATGAATCAAATATCCATCGCCATATGCCATCTCGAACATACGGATTAATCATAGTGATCGGAGAGTATCGAAAAACGCCTTATAAAAAATTCACGTTATACGAGGTGTTTAACAGACAATACTACTATACTTAACTAAAATTTAAGTTTACGCAATCGATTTTATATATTTCATAGAAATGTTTTAAATTAAAAATCTGTTGAAGAAATTAGCTTTTAAATAACAGAATTTATTACATATGTTCATACAACAATTTATAGTTAGGGTATAAGCAGAAAAACGCGATGAAATTTTCATGACAAATGAAACTTATTTCTAGTCATAGGGATTGAAATTTATCGCAAAGCGAGAAAAAATATTGGATGAAAATGATGATATTTCAATTTTCATCTTTTAATGTCTTCGGTTTTAACTTTTTCTTGACGAAAACTTTTAGTTTTTTGGCTGGATTTACTTGACTAGCCGATTGCTCTCCTCGCTC